ACCTTATAGTTTCATTACACGCGTCCACGTACATAAGTAACAAAAAATATCGTGCTTTATCTTTACCCCGGAGGTACGGCTCGAGCATATTACAAGCCCTTAACCGTGGCTTTTCCAAAAAACGAAGGTATACATAATAGGGGAGGGTGTATTTACGAGTTGGTCGTGGCTTCGATCACCGCACGGCCCATTTTCCATCATGGCGGGCTAACGCGCAGTTGTCATAATCGTTATTAACTCGGTGCAGCTACTTTATCAGTAGGAGGCATTAGCAACAGGTGAAGGTCGCGTTTGTCGTCGGCTCGTCAATTTGATGTATTTATAGCGTAACAATATCTCTCGTTTCGAGCGTATCGTCAACGGCGTAAATCAACCGCGTGTGTGTATATATGTATTATACATATATGAGGTGAGGACAATCTTTCGGATTGTCTAAACGGGTCGAGGCTGGTCTGAATACCCGCACACGCGCGCGGAGCGATAAAACGCAGGAGAAATTATAAATTAATAATGCGAAGAAAAGAAACATTTTCCCGAACCCATTAGGAGCGTGATTTCGGTACGAACCTGGTTTATCTACAGATACTGAGACCTGGTGAGACTCAATCGGCCTAATGGCTCTGACTAACTGGTGTAAGTGCGTATTATACATACGTCCAGTTTTGATAAGAAAGAAAAAAAAAAAAAAAAGATTAACACGTAGAAAGCGACGCCGAAGGCCGTTCATTGCAATCAAAGGGTTGAACCTTGTACACATTATGTTCACGTTGCTATTTTCACCTACTCTTTCAATTTCAAAACTTATACTACTTTTGACTCATTTGTCATAAGATTAGTATTACTTCATTTGTCATAAGATTAGTATTACTTTCGATGAACAAAGTAGTTATGCGTGTTTGTTTTTTTTACATTTTTACTCTTGCTATTCTCGTGCGTCTAGTTTTTTTTTTTCTTACCCTCAGCGCAAAACTGAATTTTTCGCCTTTCGGACACTCAAGTTCGTACTTTGCGCCCTACGGACGTAATGAACTAATTCTTCCAAAATAATAACAAACTATTTTACTAGTTCCATCAACCTTCGTTTTGTCAAATGCGTAGAAAATGCGACGATATCTATTGTAAAACTTAAAATTAGCTTATTTTTCTATAAGAAGCGACAATCCACCCTGTCTTCCCTATAGAGAAAAAACGCGAGTGCAGCTAAAAGTTTCAAAGTGAGATAATCGAAGGATACTATATTTGTGTTGAAATATAATGAAAATCTAAACTGACTCGCCCAAGGCTCTTTTAATTCGTAATACCAGTAGCCTTTACAACGAGTTAATATAATACCGAGTAAAAAAAAAGCTCAAGTGCACTAATGGCTTTTTCTTTTCTCGGGGCGACGGACCGAATTTTTAAACTATTTTACTTACGACTTTTTTTCATCGAAAGGTAGATTTTTATAAATTTTCAATCAATCGTTACGAATAAATGATGTAGAATTGAAAAAAAGCCATTTAACGTGAAAATTACGCTTGGAAAAAAAATAACTTTTTTCCGTGGCACCAGCAGCACTTTGAAAAAAAAAAAAAAAAAAAAAAAGTATCCTCAAATACTTGAATTGGAAGCCAATTAGCGGGGATGAAAGTACCTGCGTATCCCGACATCCCTTTTTTTCCAGGCAAAGGAAGCCCCAACAAAAATCAACCTGTTCCCCGCGCACAAACACGCACAATTGACAATCCTTTCCCTCTGTATTGCCAAAGGGGGGGGGGGGGAACGAAACTAGAGTCTCGTCAACCCGATCTTTCCTAAACGCTTCGGGTGTACACATAATACACCGAGTCCCTGCGTGTATTTTTGTCCCGTGCACACATGCCGCTACACATCATCATCAGGTATACACCAAAAGAGTTAGCCTCAAAAGGGTACCTCGACGAGCTCAAAGGGGAAAGGATCATAAGTCAAAAAGGGGTTTCCCCTTTCCATCCCGACCCTACACCCTTTTTATTCTCCCTCATTTTGTCGTCCCTTTAACAACCGGCTGACAAAACGTCTCTATTGGAAAAACGTTTAGCTCGCCAATACAGTCGTCATTTCTTCCAATTTGTTGAACGACGCATGAGGTGGTATACATACAGTCACTGCCGTGTTATTCCGATGACTCTTTGCTTCGGGAACATTATTTTTGCCTACACATGATGCTGGTCGTTATTGTTAATCGGTTCCCGGTAAAAACATTAATTTTAAAGTGCTCAAACACATAAATCATCCTACAATAGCAAGAGTACGCTTATCTACACTGAACGTCCAAGCATGAGTCAAAGTACAAGTTGAAAGAAAGTGTGTATGGTTGAAATTTCATGCATACACATCGCGGTTGCGTTGATTAGAATTTGAACAACAACCTATTCTGGAACGCACTAAACCAGACACTGTTGAGCGGAAAAAAACCAATGTAGGATTCGACACGTTTACGAGTGTGAGGCAGATATGTTTTCAGCCATCTTGTGTCGATCGTCGGGAAAGAAAAAATTGTCCAAGTATAAATAAAAGCGTTTAAACGTTTTAGCAACTCTAGATTTTCATGTACTTTGTCTTATTTTCTTCGCGAAGTAGTAATCGTCAAATTGACACGCGCGCCTCGCCATATACATACTACCTTATGCGAACAACGGGTGTATCGGAGCAGCTTTTAAACACCAAAAGTTCCCAAACACCGTAACACGCGAGAGAGATACATCAGAGCCAACGAAGCGAGAGAGGCATCATCAGCAAAGAAGAAGAAAATCACGGAGTGTATGTGTAAGTGTAACAATGAAGAGAAAAGAGGGACGGTATTTTGTATTCCCTTCTCGCCTCCAAATACCTGTGTATATGTACGTACGCGCGTAAACGGAGCACTCGAGGCATCGGGGGTATCGGTACATGGGGAGCGAAGGACTTTTTTAAAGTGCATCCTCGGTCGGTCTTTGCCACGCGCTCAGCGCACGCCCTGTGTAGCCTATATATATATACATCCAGTCGGCAGGTGAGACGACGGTTTCACTTTTTCCCTTTTTTTATATATACCTAAGTACATCCCTCCGTGTGTTTTACAACATCCCTGCGACGCGAGCTCTCCTCGTTGGAAAAACCTGCTCTTTTTTTTTATTGGAAAATGGGCGGGGAGTCGGCTCGCTCGTGCCCCTTGGAAATTTATGTTTTAATTCGGACCCGATTACGGGTGGAGGAGGACGCGGCTGATGAATTTTCGTTATTTATGAGGGGCCGCGTGTGGCTTGTGTCCAAGTCGTTTGCTCGTCGACGCTTTTCCCTTGATTCATGGCACACCGAGGGAGGTTTTTTTGATGATTGATGGAAAATACATAAATATATGCTCGTGCGTGGGATGATCGTGAAGTGCATTTGGAATAACTGGCCCACCGGTGCTGCCGAATAATCCTTTCGATCGCTGCGCAAGTATCGGCTTCATTTTGATATTCCTCTGCAAATGTAAAAAAAAAAAAAAAAATAATAAAAAACAAAAAAGAATATTTCTTTGCATGAAAAAGCTCGATACGTGATCGCTAATCACGTACACCCTCGCCATCCGAGACTCTGAAAGCTACTGGTGGCTCGGAACCCGTTGCAGAGACGTTGCACCCCCTCTCTTCTCTCATCCAACTACAACTCCCACTCTTGNGAAAAAAAAAAGAATATTTCTTTGCATGAAAAAGCTCGATACGTGATCGCTAATCACGTACACCCTCGCCATCCGAGACTCTGAAAGCTACTGGTGGCTCGGAACCCGTTGCAGAGACGTTGCACCCCCTCTCTTCTCTCATCCAACTACAACTCCCACTCTTGCCCCATCAACTCCACCCCACCATTGCCGCTCGCCAGCCATTCTCTCTCTCTCTTTCATCCCCAAATTCCCCTCGTGCACTTATACTTACCAACATCGGCTGGCTGCTCGTTATACTCGCTGCTTCCAATACGTATATATATATAACCATATACATGGTGCTATAGTATATAGGGTATACTATTTCTCCCCTCCCTGTTTCTCTCCTACCACTACCACCGTACGGAGCCATCAGAGCCCGGCGCACATTACACGTATACATATATACTTACTCGTGGCACACGAACAGAAGCGACTGAGCGAAGGGTTGCCATCAGCGCATCAGCAGCGGCGGCAAACTCTCCCCCTTGAGATCTCTCTCTCTCTCTCTCTCGCTCGAGCGGTAAGAATAAGGTAGTGGGAAAGAGAGGGAAGGGGGGGGAGAATATGCGTACAGTCCGAGCGGTGGTGGTGAGTAAAAACCAAGCGAGGGATATATAACCGAGAATTGCCGGAGGCCCAGTTGTGTGTGTGTATACATATGATGAAAAGCCCGTGCCTTACGGTTCGAACGTCAGTGGAGGGCTAGATCAGCCCGCGGTAACATCTCTCGGAGTGCGAGAGAGCTCCTATACATACACTCGCAGCTCCGGCGCGCACCACGATACGCATTCGCGACCGAGTGATTGTTATTTTAATTTTTGTTTTCTTTTGTTTTTTAAAAACCAACGGACCTTTCAACCGATAAATCGTGTCGGAAGAAAAATAATAATCATCCAAGCGTGTGATGGACCACGTTTTACCGTTTTTCACGCTTGTCGAGTTGATGGTGCTTCGCTCCGCATGAAGAGGAAATTGTTTCAACGGCACTGCCATATACATATTTATGTAATCATCGCATTCGGTGCTTTGTGGGATGTTTCTACTTATCTTACCTTTTTTGTATCTGTGATCCCGCGACTGTGCATATGATAATATCGAGTGAGGGAGGAAGACGCGCGGAAAAAAAAAAAGAGAGAGAGAGAGAGAAAACAAAGTTGGTGCGTCGATGATATTTTTGTACGTCAAGATTATTGTAGCCGCTGTTAGTCTGTGATTCGAGGGGATATATTATACCTACGAGGATAAAAGTATCGGAGAAAATACATATACACAAGAGTTTGGATGCCCAGAGGTCAGAGATAGCTGGACCATGGCTCTGTCTTACTTGCAGGAACAGCAGTACGCTGCAGGTACGTTGTTGTTTTTTTTTTTCTTTCTTTTTTAAATTTCATTTTTCTCCCCCCAATTAAATGCAATTCAAACGAAAAGAGTATAGATAAATGACTACACCCAACTCGAACGACTTTCCCAAATTATTTTTCCCGGCGTCAAAGTGACTCACGTTAACCTGCGTGATAATCGGTTAAACGCTTAAATGAGACCAATTAAGTTATAGACCGGTTAACCAACGTGCAACCACGTCAACGCGTCAAACGAGTACCAGGTACGCGTAATTACTTTATCGGATATTCGAAATGGCAACCCGAAGCAAAATGAATAATCAGTAATTAAGACTCATCGTTGCTCACACAGAGATAAGTGATGGGTATCTACACGCGGGAGGGGGGGGGGGGACAATTCGAGCAAATGGGCCCTACCGGCGGGTATGTGCTTATTATAAACCAGTTAAAATGATGTTTACGTCGGTGTTGCTCCGCTTTCTGTATTTGCGCCATATACACACGGAAACAAAGTCTCCTGCATTCGGTGAATAATCAATTTTCTCGCGTTTCACAACCGGATAAGGGAAAAAAAAAACAAAAAAAAAACTGTACGTATACGCACGGCAAGGTTCGTTTGGTCGATTATTCGCCCACCGACGGCATTATACCGCACAGCTGAGATTTACGGCGCATAATCTTTCAACGCTACGGAAAAAACTGGGTTTCACTGTTGTCACCTCCAACTGTACCGGCGGAAAAGCTCTCAAAATGCAAGAATTTCTTAAACGAACGCAAAGTACAGGGGACTTATCAGATACGCGGAGTAGAGCAATAAGGAAACTTTTTTTTTTTTTTTCCCTCGATGGGGAGTAAAAAAAGGGGTAGTAGGTGCAGAAGGAAGAGGACGAGCGCGTTGCCAGGAAACGCGCGGCCCGTCGGCCCGAGACCTTTTATTTATCCACCCCCGAGCGACACTGATGCACACGCATATTTGGCCTATAGGCGAGAAAAATCGGTCGTTCGTAACACACCGAAGGTGATGATGTCCAGTGGCTCTGTACTAGAAAAAAAAAAAAAAAAAAAGGCGAGTCCGGTGTTTCGTCACCCGATGGGACAGCCTTCCGCTTTCTCGCTCTTGAAAGAGAAAATCAGGGGAATCCGCTCGTGAAAGCGCGCGTGCGGGGGCGAGCAAAACAAAACCCCACGTGTGGTACTCTCGCGGTGATGTTGATCGGCGCGATGATGCGAAGACGAGTCGTTGGCCTCGAAAAACAGAGAGGAACAGGATGGAAAAAAAAAAAAGGAGCAAGCGCGGTACACGGGACGAAGAAGAAAGTAAAAACGACTTGGAGAGTCGCGTGGGTGGCACGCGCTCTATCTCTCTCTCTTTCACGCGTATATGTGTACACACGTTATCCAAGAGTCGCGGTACCCACATGTGGGGTGTAATATATATATATAGCCATGGCACATACCTACGCGCGGAGCACGTGAATGAAATCGGCGGTCGCGCGCGCGCGCGCACACACCATATGAATGGGAGGACACGGAGGAGGACACGCGTGTGTATAAGAGCCTCGACGGAGAGAGGGAAAGTCACTCGACGAACCTCTGGATCTTTTTTTTTTTTTTTTTTTTTTTCTCTCGAACGACAGCTGAATCTCACCTCTGTCCCCCTCGTCCACCGGCGATCTGCTCGTTTCCTTTATTTTTCACTCGACTTGGTGGTTGCGCAAAAAGGCCCGGGGCCGTTTGACTTTAGTTGCATCGCGAGCGCATCCGAAGCGAGAGGCTAGACAACGCGTTACTCAACGTTTGTTGCTTTGCAGGGTACCTGGCAAATCCGGGCCACGGTGCGATGAGGAACGATGCCGTCGATAAGCAGCATCACCTACAACAGGCCGGCTCGCCGCCGTTGAACAACAACAACAACACGAGCAGTAGCAACCACAACCACTCGGGGACGGCGGTGCCGATCCACCAGAGCGGCAAGGCCCACGGGGGCCACCACCAGGTGAACCACGCGTCCTCGGTCCTCATGAACATGGCGATGATGAACCCGTCGACCCTCGCGGCTCTCGCCATGATGCAGCAGGGCATGACCCATCCCATGTCCGCGGCCAACTTTGTCCCGTCGCTCTACAACCCGCACTACATGGCCGGCTGGCCGCCCTCCGCCTCCTCGCCACCCTCGGGCCTCGCCACCGGTCCCACGTCCCCGGCCCTCAGCAGCCAATCGGCCAGCAGCCACCACAGCACCTCCCAAAAGCGCCCCGGCAAACACGCCCTCAACAACAACAACAACAACAACAGCAGCCACGTCAACAACAACAACGTGGTCAGCAGTAGTAGCAGTAGCGGTGCCCAGAGGAGGAAGCAGGGCCCGGTGTTGAAGAAGCAGCGCAAGAACCCGGCACCGAGGATGAAGACCGCGGTGGACGGGCCTGTGATGGACTGCAGAGCGGAGGCGCCGAGTCCCGCGAGCTCGGGCAGCCCCAGCGAGACGGCCAAGGAGCAAAACGGGGCGAGGGTCTTCACGTGCGACGTCTGCAACAGGTCCTTTGGTTACAAGCACGTACTGCAGAACCACGAGAGGACCCACACCGGGGAGAAGCCCTTCGAGTGCAAGGAGTGCCACAAAAAGTGAGTTAACCGGGATGACGCGCGGCACCTTCAATAACCCTTGTTATTCCCACAAAGGATCAAAAATGTTGATAATTAAGGATACGCCGTTGATTTTGTCCAGGTTCACGCGGGATCACCACTTGAAGACCCACATGAGGCTGCACACGGGGGAAAAGCCGTACCATTGCGACCACTGCGACCGCGACTTTGTCCAGGTGGCCAACTTGAGGCGCCACTTGCGGGTACACACGGGCGAGCGGCCCTACACCTGCGAGGTATGCAACAACAAGTTCAGCGACAGCAATCAATTAAAGGCCCACCAGCTCATTCACAAGGACGAAAAGCCATTCGAGTGCAAACAGTGCCTGCAGCGCTTCAGGCGCAAGCACCACTACGTCCAGCACAAGTGCCTCCCGCCGTCCGAGGTTGCCGCTGTCCCTGGAACTGGTGGTAGGTTGGTCGGTCAGGCCCTGCCCGAGGAACCGGTCGATGCCCTACACGTGAACGACGAGGCCGAGGGTGGAGAGATGGTGGGAGCCGACGAGGATTTCGAGATGCGGCAACTGGTGCGCCGGCCGTATCAGCAATTGGGGCAGTCGTCGCCCGTGCAGAGGCACTTTGTCGATGGGCCAGTTAACCAAGAGGTGGGCTACTTTGCGGATCTGCCGATGCAGACCGAGCCGGAGGACCTGTCGATGCCCAGCTCGCGCTCGAGGGTGTACCCCGAGTTGTCCCCGCTACAGAGCAGCCGTTCTGGTCGCAACGACGCCGAGAGGCCGCGTAGAAGGTAGAAGGTGTTACCCGACCCTCTGCCGATGCTGACGCTTTTGTAATGTACTACCGTTGTTGTACATAGTTGTTATTTTGAATGATGCATAAATATATACATACACACATACATATATATATATATATATAAATAAAAAATAATAATTTGTTTTTCCTCCCGTCTTCTCTATTTAACAGTGTTGGTCATTTTTAATGGTTACTTTTTTCTTTCTTTCTTTCTTTCTTCATCTCGCCGTCACTCTCCATTGATCATTATCGTATGAGATATTTTGTGTGTGTAAATGATAAATACACGCTTTGATTTGCAGTGATATTCTAAATTGTCCTCCATTATCAAATGTACGCATTACCTACATGACAAACGCCGAATCTCAGCATAAAGGCTTTACGCACACACCACATTAATTATCAGAAAAAAAAAAAAAAAAAAAAAGAAAACCATCCCAAACATCAGATACTATGCACAACGTGTTCGCTAACAAGTGCCGTTCCTCTTTTAGGATAATTTTTTTTTTTTTTTTTTTTTTTTTATTGATGGGTAATGCTGCGTGGGCGTAAAGCGTTTATGGTGCGATTCGGCGTTTGCCAGTAACGCGGGCGCTTGATAGTGGAGAAGAAGTTGCAGTGGGTACCTCGTAATGATGATCAATGGAGGTAGATCGAGAGGAAAGGAAAAAAGTAAAAGAAGGTAACAATTTAAAAATTATCAGTACTAAGTAGTAAGTGGAGAAGATAGGGAAAAAAAAAAAACAAAAAAATAGGAGGAGGATTTGGAGGATATTGAATATGGTATGCAAGTTCCTCTGACAGTTGAAAACAACGGGGGGGAGAGTGATCGTTTCGATCCGCGCCCGTCCTCTGTCGTTCCCTCCTGCGTGAGCGACAAGCATTATTTTGTACATAAATTTATTATAAATCGTTGCGAACGAACGTTTTTTTAAATTATTTTTCGTTCGTACCCCAAAGATTTTTTTTTTCTTTTTCTTTTGTGAAGGAATTTTAATTATTAAAGAAGTGAAGGATTAAGGAGTGACACAGTAAAGTATGGGTTGTTTTTTTTTTCATTACCGTCCGGATTTTAAACAATAAAAGCTACTTTGTCAATTGCGATAAGTAGTCGTCACCTAGCGAGCGACAGGTTATACTATCGGCCGCAAAGTTTTTTAAAATTAATAATAAATAACATCATAACAACTGGACGGTAGTAGTTTTCAAAAACAACTGAATACCAACAACTAGTATTGTACATAAGTTATATTATAAACATGGAGAAGGGAAATAAAAAAAAAATCATAAGTTTTGTTAAATAGTCAATAATAAATGTTTTATTCAATTGTACACACATTTTTTTTCGTTTTCTTTTGATTTACCAATCATTTATTTAGTTATTTATTTACACGTTAACGCATGATTTCCTTTATTGTTTTACAGCTATTTTCTTGTTTATTTAACACACACACGGACACACGTTAAAAAGCACATACAACGATGAAAAGCAGAAGGAGAGGGGAGGAAAAAAAAAAGAAAATTTCTCTCCAAAAACACGCGAGCCACTCAGCCCCCAAAAACGTTTCCCAAACGGAAATGCAAAACAGTCCCTCGTGCCCATACAGCCCCGAGAGCCGAGAAAAGCCAAAAGAAAGAATCCACGCCGCGCACACATCGATACACCCATACAACACACAAGTTCGCGGACCACTTTTCCCGAATGGCACGTCCTCCGGCCTTCCCCCCCCCCCCCGAGGGCTGATTTATATACGCTCCGTCCCGAGTCATTGAGAGAACTCACGCTCTCCATGCAAATGCGCCCCTGGTCGAGGTCATCGGCGCGCCCATTATATACACACCCGCCCCGAAACTACGCAACGCTCCGCAACCCAGGGGCTCCCGCGTACACGTTTTACAATGGGACCCATAACACACACACACACACACACTCTTTTTGCACTCGGGCCCAAACTTTGCTCGCGTTTTCGGGCTTTCGCTCCATTATCTTTCCCGACTTTCTTTTTGAAAGCTCCCCATTCTTTCCCTCTGCATTCGAGGTCCTTAGGAATTTACGAGAACCCCCTCCCCCACGCTCTCCCGCTTTTATATTTTTTAACAACCCTGCGAGTACTGAAATTGAAACAAGTCTCGAACCCATACTTATTATCGCTCCCACTCTTGCGCAAGGCTCTAATTGCATTTAAATGCCCAAGATATCTTCAAATTTCGTTTAACCAGCGTATACCAATCTTTTTTCCTTTTCTCGTGTATCGCGCACTTGCGTGCACGTACTGTTTACCGATATAGGCTGGGCACAATGGAGTACAGCTACACGAGAAGAAAGTACTGTTATGCACCCTCCATTCGACACGCGCATCCCCTGTTTTTTTTTTTTTTTTTTTTTTCCTCGAATAATTACGCGCTTCCGCTCCTTTCTCCCGCGCACCGCGAGGAAACCCACCCTCCTCGTCTTTTTCCCTTTTTTTTTCTGCTTCCCTCCGAGGAAACTCGGTATCTCGCGCGCCGACGGGTCCGTTCGATGCTTGTATCACCGGAGATGAACTCGGGAGGGAAAGTGGAAGAAAGGAGCCACGCAACCCAGAGGGAAAATCCGCACAATGGCGCGATACACGCTCGTCTCCTCCTCCCCCTCCGCCGATATTCTTTGTTACGCTTTCCATTTCCTGGAGTGTTTGCGTTGTCTTTTCTCCGCGCTCTCCTTGCAGCCCCCGGCTCGGCTTTCTTCTCTCCTCGAGGTGCACTTTTTACCTCTCGATCTCGGCGAAAAATCAAAAAGCCTAAATCCCTCCCCTACTCTGGCGCAACGGAGTTTTACTCGGTGCGCGGCAAAAACGAGCCGATCCAGCGCGATTTCCCAGCTGGACCCACCGAAATTTTCCAAAGAGAGCGATGAAAGGAAAACCCTCCCCTCCGCGAGTCGAGAGGCGCCCGAGCTCACGCTCCATCGGACCCGATCAAGATCCATCATCGGCCCGTGTAAGCCCAGCTCGCGGCCGGATGTGTTTAAAGGGCCTGCAAGGAAAGGAAGGGAGGGAATAAGAAAGAAGGCCCGCGGGACGCTTCATTTATTTCTAATGTGTGTATACTTATGAATGCGCGGTGTTTACTCTGCTGCTGATCCTCGACACGGTCAGACTGAATTACACGCCGGTACGATGATGATGTTTTTTTTCTCCCCCCCCCCCACCCCCCCCCCTACGGCAGTTTCCTTTTTCTCTTCTTTTTTTTTTTCTTTTTTTTTTCATGCGGCCCATTAAAACGTCCTTAGCGAATTGGTCCAACTGCTGGTGGCTCGCGATGTGAAACTGAAGATGCTTGATTCAACTTTTGCATACACACGTGTAATAACAATCGTTGACGCTCGATAAAAAAAAAAAAAACAGAGGAGGGACGGCAGAGGGCAGCGGGCTCTCGACCCGGCAAAAAGGCAAGGCCCACCTCCGACCAACCCGCTCATAGTAATAAAAGAAAAAAAAAAAAGCATAAAATTAAATAAAATTAATGTACATATAGGAAAGTGCTTTACACCGCTGGTGTTGTAGCGAAGGAAGACAAAGAGAAAACGAGATTTTGGCCTCTATGCTCTGGCTCTCTCTCGCTCTCATATTTTTTGTTATTGTAAGGAAAAAAAAAAAAAAAATGAAACCGTCGTCGCGTAAATGTAACTACGCGTCGAGAGAAAAGGAGAGGGATGAAAAGCGTGACAAGAGAGGGTGACAATTGTAGCAACGAGAGCGGGGAAGCTGTTGTAATGCTTTTTTTTTTTCCTTTCTTTTTCGTATATACGGTACGTGTGAGTTTCGCTGCAAAATCAAACCAAAACTACAAATGTATGTATGTGTACCTACTTGCCTATGCTGCGAGTCCTGTGAGGAGAAAATAAAGAAGGGAAGAGGAATCTCTCTCCAACGAATTTCGGGCCTACGTGTACCTAGACGTGGTACACTACAAGTATAAAAATCCGATGCGAGGGAGCAAGTGTCAAGGTTGAGTTACACGTTTTCGCGACAGATTTCGGCGCTACATATCACACCCCTGTGGCCTTGACTCCAAATAAGAGACTCCTCTTCCCTTCTCCGTAATAATAACTACGCGTAGGCAAGTATATCGAGTGACTCGTTTTTATTACTTTTTTTTTTTGTACATCCTTCCCTTTTACTCGAGGACGGCGCTATTGTCATTCAATCTTTTCGTACCGCCGATCTCCCGCATAAATTACCAACAGGTTTATTTTGAGCCGCTGCGCTTGAACTTGGTTGAATGTCCTCGGGCACGTTTTCTCTTTCTCACTCCCTTTCGCGAGTAAAATTTACGAGTTGATACTCAGGCTGATGCTTTGGAAAATAATGTTGATAACGACGATACACTATAAAATCGGTTTAAGTTCCTGCCACGATTCGTCGAGCAGATCGAAATTTCCTTACATATATTATACTGTATGCACGCTTGCTCGCTGATGGAAATGATGATGAAAAACTAGAGTCCTGAAAATTTTCCTACCTACGCAACACTTGAATCCTATATAAATGTAAAAAAGTTAAACTGAATGAAACAAAGGATTATTTTTTGCTAAATATGCACTCTATATTGAAATATCTTTATGCCGTCGTATACATATATATATATTGTGAATTCTTTCCAAGTAACATAGATGAGCATCATTGTTGTCCTGTAAAATTAACTACCCGTGGATATTATGAGTCGCGTAATACTCACGTTTTCGTAAATATATATATATACGTATACATAATTTATAAACAAACGACGAGTTATACATACCTAATAAATATGAATATTGCGTATTATATTGTAAGTATAGTGAAAATATCGTGGATTAATCAACTAGTCGGGAAATGTTCGTATTTTTCTTGTACATGCAATTGTGTAATATGAAACAAAAAGTAATGATCTAAATGATAATAATGATAATATACATATGCGTCACGAAACACTCGAATCCCATATTTTTCAAAGAGAGATTATTCAAAATCCT